CGTAACAATACTATAGTCACTTGCCCTGATAATGGTATCTTACCCAAATTAGTCTGATAAACTATCTGACAAGGAAACAAAATATTTTCAATAACAAAGTATATGTAGGGTTATCATTTGCATCATCCCTACATAATAGCACAGGGACACAATGTAGTAGAATGTTAACAGACAAAAACAGGATAAATTAAACTCAATTGTGATTGAATAGTTATGCATATTGATATATGTTAATTCTTGTTATTCTGAATAATACATGTCCAGTGAAAACAGTTTATTCTAATGTGTATATTCTTATTCTGGATAATACATTCATCTGTATTTAAAGCGATGTACGTAATTGGTTAAGACCTATACTGACCTGTCGTGGATCATGAAGAGAACATATCCTGTGTTTTGAAAGGCTGGGGCTTTTTGCATCTATTATAAACAAGACAATATCACGTACCTTCAGAGTTTCATACATCTGGCGTATGGGGGGTGGCTTCAGTAGCCAAAACGTTTATTTCTACATGTTTGTCATTTCTCGGCAGCTATTAATTTCATTCACTGCACTACGATTGTATATACTTTTAAAGGCATTATACTGATGTGGAGCTGTCTGATTGAGCCCCCCCACAGAAACTGTTGTTGCTACGTGTGGGTACCTGGTGTGTCAATTGCGGGGAATGTAACCCTGGATTTTAGCGAGTTACGTCCGTAAACTTACCCCTATCCCACCGAGAAATACCTCCCTCCGCAACATAGCGTTAAGACTTCGGACTTATAACACTAGAAGCCGGATTTCAATACCCGTGGTGGGCAGAGCATAGATAGCCTATTGTGTAGCTTTGCGCTTAAATAAAAAACTAAAAAAAACTGTCTGATTGGCTGTACGCTAACAACTTAAAGTGTAAATTATCTTTACACAATTATAGTATTTTGGCACTTGTGTATAAAGTTAAAATCATAAATAATATTCAACATTAAACTGGTACACAATTAAAAACATTTTATTTAGGCCTATGTGTGGCCTTCAATTCACTGTTCCTCTGATTATTTATAATGATATAGATGGATTTGAATCTAAAAAAGCTAGTTGTGATTTATAGGCTGCACAATAGTTATGTGCTCATAAAAAATATTTATAAATGATTCCATTTAGTCAGTTATTATTTTTAATTACAAACTATATGGTAAATAAACATTAAATTAATACTGAATCGCCGATGGCGTGGTTAGGCCTAAATCTCGATAACACACCCCTAAGCTAAATTTGTTTATATAATAATATGCATGATATAATAGGGCGTATTAACCAATAGGCTTTCAAGACTAAAGCGTAACAATTTGAAGGGCGCATCTTAGGGGGTGAAAATTCATAGAGACTTTAATGTAAATCTAATTTTCATTTTTTAAATAATGAAGACAAATTTCTACCCAGTTCATTGTATTTTAATTTATTGTTATTTTTTCGTGTTGAAGGATCATTTGCTCGGAGAGTCATCTAGAATTGTGGGCCTAGACTGTTAGTTAACTATGATACGTTCCTGATAATATATACATTCTCCAAGGATGAGTTTGAACGTTAAATTTTAGGGTTAACATGTATTACCCGCTGACTCACCGGATTTTAGCGTTATAAGTCTGGAAATTTACTGCTGACTAACTGCATTTTAGCGTTATAAGTCTGGAAATTTACCGCTGACTCACCAGAGGATTGTTTGTTTGTAATTAAGCACAAAGTTACTCAATGGGCTATCTGTGCTCTGCCCACCACAGGTATCGAAACCCGGATTCTAACGTTGTAAGTCCGCAGACACGCCGCTGTGCCACTGAGGGAAACTCACCGGAGAACGAAATAAAAGAAAGGTATAAAAGCAGATTTTTTAATGTTGCTCAGATCCTGCGAAAGAAAGACAGAAATCATAATAAGGTGCAGTTTATCAATTGTTAGAATAATTATGACGTATTTCGAGAATTCGGCTGTAATAATTGTATTGAAAACGGGTGACTTTGATTTTAAGTACATTGAAAAAACATTCGTACGCCATCTAAATGACATAAATATTTGTTTGAAATGATTTTTAAACGGATTGTAGAGTGGAACGAGATCAACGAAATCTGGTTTTCGCGACCTTTAAGTCTCGCTTCACTGATCATCCCATTTTCGCGTAATAAAGTAGATTGCTTCGGATGGCAACAGGATGGCAAATTCACGATTTGAGGATGAGTTCAATGGGCCTTTTTACAGTTGAAATAAAAAAACAATTCTTTATAAATAAAAAACATAAGAAACGTTAAATCTTAACAGCATATAAAGATCAATATGCAACTGTTCATTATCATAACAGCGGTTAGGCCTCAATCTGAGAGTCGCGGGTTCGAATCGCCGTCACAGAACTTGCTCGCAATACAATAAAAACACAATATAAAGTTCCTCGTATGTAGGGTATTTTTAGCTTTCTCAAAGTAACAAGCACTCTACTCATGCCTTTGTACATTAATTGCGTTATAATCATATTCAGGAAGTTGTTTCTGCTTCATGTGCTTAACTACTGTAACTTGATGTTTGACAAGAAGTAAATAATTCGCAAGGAATTGTGACTGAATTATTCGAGTAGGAAAACCAAAAATTCCTTTCAAACTCGGTTTGTTTTTCGCACTATTTTTGTCCCTTAAATTATTAATTTCGTTGTATCCCGTTCACTCAGATCAACGAACCGACAAAAATTTGAGTGAAATAGCTCACTTTCTACGTAAAAATACACAAAAAAGGACCCCCCCACGCAGCGCTTGAAATATTTTACCAAATAGTTAGGGCGCTCGACTCACACCAAACATGCTCTCCCTTTCAACCATTGGAGCATTATAATGATACAGCCGATCTCACTATTCGTTTGGTAAAAAAAAAGTAGCTCAAGAGTTGGCGGTGGGTGGTTTTTACTAGGTGTCTTCCCTCTAGTCTATCACTGCTAAATTACAGACGGCTAACGCAGATAGTCCTCGTGTAGCTTTGCGCGAAATTTCAAACCAAACCAAACCTAAGCATCGAAACATTTCCACATGTACTAAATTTTTCTTTCCAAACAACAGAGGCCTGGTGGTTAAGATATTTGACTTGCAATCTGAGGGTCGCGGGTTCGAATTCCGTCACCGAACATACTCGCCCTTTCAGCCGTGTGGGACGTTATAATGTGACAGTAATCCCACTTTAAGATCCCAGCTGCTCCTGTCTAGCGAAACTACAACAGAGAGAACAGTTTGAAGTTGAAGCCGGACTATAGAAATAAATATTATTCATATTTTGTTATGCACAACTGTCTGCTCTAAATAGTAATGGTGTTTGTTTAATTACGAGTCGAGTGCCTTAACCATCACACTAGTGCAAGAGAAGTGTCGATAAAAGTTCAGATCAGATTGATTCGAGTTCTTAAAGAACACTTTTTTTTGTGTACTGGCTCGGTGGTTGGAACCTTAAACAACTAATATTTAAATACAAAAAAAAATATGATAACTCGTAAAAACTCACTTTTTGCGATTCTTTTACCTATTTCACGTGAAAGTTTAACACGAAACATAATAGAGTGACACATAAACTGCCATACAGTCAAAAATTAAGTTTATTTTCGTATTAAGTTAATCGTGTTTAACTTATTTGTCGTCAAGTGCGAAGTTACACAATGGAATATTTGTGCCGTACCCGCCACGGATACAGAAACCCGATTTTTCGCATTATAAGTACTCAGACTTACCGCTGAGTCACTAAAGTGTGTAAAACTAGCTTAGATGTAAGTATCTTTTATCTCCAACGAGTTACTGCCGAAGAGGCCATTCGTTAAAAACCAGAATTCATCAAAAGATTTTTCTGAAACTCCATTTATGCAATATAATAGATGATTTTGAATCCGCAATGGACAACTTAGGAGGAAAACGAAAAACAAATTCCAAGTAACGTGATTTATATCATACATTTTAGGCCTATTGGTTTCCAATCATTCGCCAGCTATTGGCACTTAGACCATGATATTTAAATATACGTATTTTTACGACTTCTCTTTGTCAGGAATGCTTCTATTGTTGACTTGTCGCGAACATTTAAGATTGTTAAGTACGTTTTAACAATAAGCTATTTATAATTATATTAATACCACAGGTCGTCGAAACTTTCATGTTATACTGTTTAGATAAAAGTCAATTTTTCACAGTATTTTAATGTAACTTTTTTCTGGATTTACTGGTTTCATCAAACAGATAAATTGCCCCTCCCCAGTGGCGCAGCGGTATGTCTGAGGACTTATAACGCTAGAACCCGGGTTTCGATACCCGTGGTGGTCAGAGCACAGACAGCCCATTGTGTAGCTTTGTGCTTATTTACAAACAAACAGATAAATTAGCGTGCGTATATAGATATAAGCTAAAACCAAATTGAAATCACAGGTTTTCAAACACACTAAAACTACAAACCGAATCGAAGTAACCATTTTCAAAACTAGAGCTCCCTGCAATGAAGGGCAGAACACTTGACTTGATTTTTGCTTCCAGCCCAGACCCAATTTCTGTATAGAAAGCTTGTGAAAAGCTCGTGGAATTGTCTACAGGTTTCTGTATGTAAGATTTCAGATATCGTAGTAACTCGGTAACAGTGACTAAGTGTGAAATGAAAATCACAGAATCTTACACTTGGCGGTCTTCCGATTCCGCCAAGATCGACCGCACAGGTTGAACGACCAGGCTGGAACGCGGAAGATACATCACGTCTAACCGGCTGTCGGTCAAGGCTACTTACGACGTGAGCAATCAGCCCCTAGAGGCAACCGAATTAGGTAACATATTGTCAAAGTTACGGGGACAAGGGGTTGCCGGGAGCTACGAACCAAGTTCTGAAAGACTGGCATGACGCGATTTTTAAGTACCGCCCCTTAAACTTAACGACCAATGATAATAGATGTCTAATAAAAACAGCAACGTTTTGAAGGACAGTCATGTTTGTGCTTGTGACTCTCGAATGTCCAGTGTTATTTCGGCTTGCTTTCAAGTAAGAGGTTCTTTCCAAGAGTCCAAGAAGTAGTGAAATATACAGTCCATTCAAATTATTGAGGTGAGATAGCAGACACAGGTGTTAATATATTACTGCTTCTAGTCGAATATCACAATTTGGAAACCAATTTTTCATTTCTTACATGTGAATAACGTGAAGTGTGAAAATGTAATTATTAGTTGTATTTACGAATTAATGTAAAAATACAAATTTGTCGTTAAAGTTTAAGAGTTTAATATAAAAAGTTAATCAATTCTAGTACTGAAAATATTTTCTCTTGTTTTTTATACGTAGATCTAAACAATAGTAGTGTTTTTAGTTCCACATAATAAGTTCTACCAAACACTTTCAAGTTGTTTATCATTTGAGATTTTTGATTTTCTACCGCTCATAATTTAGCGCCCCCCAATGGCGCAGCGGTGAGTCTGCGGACTTAAGACGCTAGAATCCGAGTTTCGATACCCGTGGTGGGCAGAGCACACATAGTCCATTGTGTAGCTTTGTGCTTAATTACAAACAAACATAAATTAGCTTGAAAATGTTAACAAATTACGAACAGGGATTACAATCAGGATTTTCGAACGCTTTTCGTTTTAAAATATGAATTTCTACAATTTTCTAATTTAATTTGAATTAATAGTTTAAATATTAACAGATGGCTTTCAAATGAAATGTCTGCAAATAATTTCCACCTGTAATTTGTTCCATTTTATCAATTTGAGAAAACGAATGTTTATTCTAAAATAAAATTACAATTTTATCTTGAAGCCCTCTGGGTTTTACTATTAGAATATCGTACTAGTTTGCCGCTGTTTGTAAGTTTTTAGCAAGAAATAAGGAAATTATTTCCTCTTTGCCCCAGAACATTTTTGAAACGTTTAAACTTAGTTTCCATAAAAAAAGCTTTGTAAACTTAACCTATCTATCTTACTTTTCCATGACCTGTGATTACAAAATAAAAAAGAGAGAGAAAATGGAATTGAAAATATAATTTGTAGCATATAATTAGGCCTAATTCATTCTTTGACTGGCCGTACCAGTTTCGGCCATCCGAGGCTCTTCAACACAGCTAGAGTCAGCAAACGAGAGAAATACGGTTAGGCCTTTTATATTGGTGATGGATATATGATACTAAATGTGATATATACATATTAAATCCAAAAAATGTTGTTGTTTTTCTTTATGAACGTTAATCCCTTGTTAATCGGATAGGTTTTTGGCAAAGTTTATTTGGTAGCGAAATTATTCGGGAACATACATTAAATAAATATCTGATGGTACTTGGAAATTTTGTTTCTTTTGTGCAAGACATTTTGTAGTGAGTGTTTAATAAACTAAGTTAATATACATCATTTGTATTGCAGGAAACATGCAACGAGTAACGTTATTAACCTTAGGCTTGTGTACCTTTGTTTCCGCCATTTCGAATACCGGCAGTTCTACTGGGAAACGAGAGGATAGTCTTAGCTCTAGCACGACTAGAAGACAGGCTAGCTCCAGTAGCTTAGCCCAGACAGCGTCCCAAGGTAACCTCTACTATTACTACTATCCTGTGCAGGAGAAGAAGAGGCAGTCTACAGGGGATTACGACACTTCGGCTTCCAATTACAACCCTCTCAGTGCTTCATATGGCTCCAACTTTGGACAAAACTTTGATTCCTCCCAAGTGTACCAGGGAGCAGCTACTAATCAAGACACCGCTGGAGCAGTATACGGAGGACAGGCCACGGGATTTGGTGGCAGTAATTTCGGAGGTTTGGGCGCTGCTGCCGATATCAGCCAGATCAATTCTGGAGGCTATGGCAGCGTCGGCCAATTAGCAGCAGCAACTGGAAGTTATGGAATTAACGCTGGCCCAGGACAGGCAGCTGCTGGAGGCTATGGACTTGGAACAGCTGGTGGAATTAGCCAGTTAAATGCTGCAGGCTATGGTGGTGCCGGAGGTGAGGGTTTCGGTGGTCTAGGCGCTGCAGCAGGTCCAAGTCTAAGTCAGTTTGTGCCAGGAAGTTATGGGGCTACTTTTGGTCAAATAGGTGGTTATGGAGGAAACGGAGCAGGCAATGTATATGGCCAATACGGAGCTCAAGGAGGAATTGGTGGTTATGGTCAAGGAAACTATGGTGGGTTGGGTGACCTACAACCCGCTGCCAGTGCCACTACAGGTTCGTATGGTGGAGAGTCTCACTCTGCATTTGGTTTGGGCTCTTTGATTATGCCTATGTTGGCCCTAGCTGGTCTTGGACTTCTACTACCATCAGTGTCCTCATCCCTTACGAGCAGTAACCGTCGAAAACGTGAAACAGAAGAAACAATGGACGTTTTCAGTGGATACCGCAGTAAACTGGAGAAGTACTACGCTATCTATCGATCAGCGATGAAAAACGAGCAATGTCTTAACCGAGTAATATGTGAATTGGGGAATGCAATGAGCGATGCAAAGGACAAGGTTTCCATAATTAGGTGAGATTTATTTTGTCTTTAAAAACTAAATTTTAGCTTTTTAAATACAGACTCTAAATTATCTTTAAAAAATTATCAAATGCACGACAACGTGATTCGGAACTAATATGTTGTATGAACTAAAACGCTTGTTTAGAAAACAAAAGGGAATCCTCAATAGCAGTGGTATGTTTAATTATTTTAGGCAGGATTGAGGTAAAGTAATCTGTGAGACCCTTTTTTTTCCCCCCCTTTCTTTCAGTTATATTTTTGTGCGCCAGCGATACCAAGCGTGGGACGACCTCCTGAGTCCAAAACTGTAATTAGATCTCAAATCGGTCAAGGGATGATGGAGCTACGAGCTAAAAGTTTATACTTGAAAAAACTCTGAGCCATTGTATGAGCTGTTATGTCGTGGCTAAAAATCTTGGAACTGCCTAAAGAATGGTTTTACGTCGAAAACTTTCAGAGTGTGAAACAATTCTTACCATAGACTTAAGCTGTTTTTTGGAGTACTGCTTAGATATTTTGGAGCTGCCAATTATATTATAGCAATATATAATATACTTATAGCAAATTACACTTACTTTAATTCAAATCAGTATCAATGTTTACTGATACAAGGAAATTGTAATATTACGTACCAGAAGGCTAAATGTGGTCTAGTTGTTAACGTTCTGGGTTAAGGATAGAAAAGTCCAATGTTCTGAACACTGGCAGATGTCATAGTCAATCCTACACGCGGTCAAGAGTAATCACGCAGTCCTTTCTCTGGTCTAAATTAGAGATAGCTGTGCTCTCTGACCGGGTCGATTAGTTCACGTGCTACATAAAAGACTATGCACATTGAAATACGAGATACCTACCAGGAGTAGTGCGGCAAAGCAGCCAACAACTTCATGATTTTGTAAAACTTGAATTAATTAATACAGCATTATATAGACTTTCCTATGTTTGTTTTTTTTGACTGCTTTTAATGTTAGGCCTAGGCTACTGGTAGTCGTACAACACTAGAAAGCCAGATTTCTGAAAACTGTATTGTCTATAAGAGACAAGTAGAAATAAAATAATTTATTTAGAAATCTGCTTTTTACATTTTGTCTTAAGAAACAAATCATTTGGGTCAATAGAATATGTGTTGCACAGTGTTTTAAAGCAGCAGTTGTAACCTTAACATAAGAGAGAAGCTAAAATTCTAACAGTCTAGAAAAACCCGGAAATTAAAAGGCCACAGAAACGGAATTTGCAATATGGTGGTGCCGGACTGAAGGTTTCGTTTGTGGAATTTCACACAAAGTTACTCGAGGACTATCTGCGCTAGTTGCCACTAATTTTGAAGTGATAGACTAGAGGGACGGCAGATCCTTAATACCGCCCATCGCTAAATCTTGAGCTATACTGATTAACTAACGAATGGTGGAATTGATCATGTCATTATAACGCCCCCTCCCCCACGGCTGGAAGGGCGAATATATTCCGTGATAGGGTTCGAATCCGTATCCCGCAGATTGCGAGTCGAGTGCCCTAACCACCACGCCATGACGAGCCCAATGGAATTGAACATAAATTTGGAACAAACGTTACAGAAGATACAACCTAATCATTAGTATTAGCATTTTAAAATTCCCTAAACCTGTTTGAATAGGCAGGCTACGGATTTGGAACAGCTAGCAGGAATACCCAGTTAACAATGGTGGTCCCAGAGCTGAGTTACCTTAATGACGAGTGCAGTAATTAGGTTAAAGTGTAACCTAAACCATAGAGAGGTTAATAGCAAGCAGATTTGTAACTGCGATGATAACATGTTTTGATTGCTTTTGTTATATAAACGTTATTTCTTGTAATGCTTGTATATATGATTAGATTTATAGCATAACATATAACATAATGTCTAGAGACAACAAGGGATCCATTGTCCCATCCTCTAAACTAAACTAAAACTATTAAATAATAGAATACACCTCAAAGCCAGCTCATATCTTTCATATAGTAATCGTACCTTCTCTTAAACTCACATTTACTGCCTTCACAACTTTCGAAAGCAACCCATTCCGAAGGCCAACCATCCGTATAGAAAAATAAAACTGTCTTAGCTGAAGATGACTTCTACTCTGCCAAAATGTATACTTGTGTCCTCTAGTCCTACTATTCTCATTTTTAAGTATGAGAAAAGATGATGCATCAACACTATCAATTCCCTTTACAATCTTAAACACATCAACCTGAGCCCCTCCAACTCTTCTTTCTTCAAGAGAAAACAATTTCAGAGTTCTTAACCTTTCTTCATATGACAACCCCTCCATCCCAGGTACCATTCTAATAAACCTCTTCTGAACCAATTTAATACTATTTCTAAGGTAAGAAGCCAGATACTGGACACAGTACTCCAGATGTGGCCTAAACAGTGACCTAAGCAATGACATTATAACCTCTTTAAACTTGTATTCAATATTTCTGTAGATACAACCTAAAATCATATTTGTCCTACCACTAGCGACATTACACTGCTTGGATGGTATAATTGAGAGACTGATCAACCATAACACCAAGATATTTTCCCCACAACACTCTTGAGGTTATTCCCATCAAAATTATACTTATGATTCAAATTACGATCATCCACATGTATTATTTTGCATTTATTATAATTAAAACCTATTTGTCATTTATTCGTCCAATGATCCATATTCTTTTGTAAAGCAGTAGCAACTTCCTCACAGCCAGCAACATCTTTAATATCATCAGCAAATATAAGTAATTTATTGACCATTCCTTTGTCTTTGTCACCGATGTAAATAAAAAAGAGCAAAGGTCCTAAGATTGAGCCCTGAGATACCCCACTTGTGACATTAATCCATCTTCTATTCAGTTAGCTAACTTATCCCTCACATCTATAGAGATAATTTGTTTACAAACCATTTATGTGACATCTTGTAAAATGTTTTCTGAAAATCGACATACACCAAATCTACACCTTTACCCTCATCTACATAAGCTATAACCTTTTCAAAGAAAGTCACAAGATCTGTAAGGCAATATTTTCCCTTAGTGAAACCATGTTGATTATCAAATAATATTCCAAACATTGTTAAACAACTTTGCAATGTGTCTTTTTCCACAACCGATGTAAGACTAGTAGGCCTATAATTATTGGGACAGTTTTATCACTTCCTTTGAAAAGAGGAGTAACATTAGTCAACTTCCAATACACTGGCACCTGCCCTCTATTCAAGGACTTATGAAAAAAAAAATATTAGCAAGAGGCTCAAATATTCAATCCTTAACTTTCTTCAAAACACTTGGGGAAATGTTATCTTGCCCAGGAGCCTTATCGTTCTATAAACATCTCAATTTTTTTCTTAACAAGCTCATAATTAACGCAGTCATCTTGTTTGATCTTGTTTCTACCTATTAACTGTTCAGGATGAGGAATATTGCTTAAATCTTCATTAATAAAAACTGAATAAAAAGTACAATTTAATAACCCAGCCATCTCATAATCGTCAATTAGGAGGCTTCCTTTATCATCCCTCAGGGGTCGTACCCCCCATCCTAACATTTGTTTATCCTTAATGTATTTAAAGAAGTCCTTACTGTTAATTTTTACATTTTCAGCCAACCTTTTCTCATACACCCTTTTATATGTCATAATTTCCTTTTTCACCAACTTTCTTGATCTTCTATAATCTGCTAAATCTCCTGTCATACCAGTCCATTTTAATTTCTTAAATTTGTGATGGTTTTCTTTAATTTTATCCTTTATACCTTTCGTGACCCAACCTGGTTTGTTACTTGCAGCAAACTTTTTTTTTCTATAAATAATACGTTTAACTTGAATATTTAAAAAATTTACAAAATTTTCACACCTGATCAGTGTCTCCAAATAACTCAACTGCCCAATTCACAACAGATAATTCTTGTTGCATCCCTTCAATATTTGCGTTTCTTTTAAATTTGTAACGAAAATGTCATTATTTCTGATTTTCCTATGCAGCAGAACATCGAACCAAATAATGATCATTTGCATCCAGATGTTCTACGATTTCCATCCTCTCAATCATTTCTATATTAGAAGTTAACAATAAATCTAAAATAGCATTGTTTCTAATACATTATTTGGATAAATAGTGAAGGAAACCACCTTGAATAGTTTCAGAAAGCTTTTCCCTCTCGTGATGCCCCCCAGTGGCACAGCGGTATGTCTGCGGACTTGCAACGCTAGAAACCTGGTTT